GGTCTTCGCGCTCATCCACGAGATCTAGTAGATGCTTGCAAAGCAGTTGCCCCTGCCGAGTATGGTCAGCCAGGCCTGTACCTGCATCAGCAAGGGCAACAAGGAATGTACACACGGGATATCGCGATGTCATTATTAGTAATGTGATGTGGTTGCGTGTACCGTACGTCGTGTGGAAGCATCTCACGGGCGGGAGGACTGAGCATTGCGCCGTACGCTAGCCAACAGAACGACTGCCAGTTTAGCTTTGCGATGTCGCGCCGACTGCAGCGCTCTTCTCCTGTGTTATCTCGGACGCCAGTTCAACCCGATGTGACGTCACAACGGTGGTGCTGCAGTTAGTTGTACATAGCAGCAGTTGAACAAAAAAATTACATGATGCTGTACCTACAGACAACACCGACGAAACACTGTTCGGTGAACATATGCTGTTGTGCACGACAGCAGAGCGGCCGGGTGCACTTTTTTCGAGCGTTGGAGAGCACGGCCGGTGGTAACCAACTGCGTCTCGTCAACGACATGTCCAGGAGACGGCATGCAGCTGCATACGCAAATACAATATCGCCTGGTTCCTCCGCAAAATGCACTCTACACAACAGCAGCAGCAGCAGTCCCCTCCTTTTTGGTTGTGGACAGAGCATCTGTACTGCTGTGCAAATAACATGTTTGAGCCCGACTGTGCGAACACGGCAAGCGGTTGTCAGGAAAATCGTGCGTCGAGACCACCAGTAGTCGGACACGGTTTGACCTTTGAATATGATTGCAGCAACTAGTCTGCGTAGCAGTAGAAAATTATCCATCTCTCCTTGGCATGTATTCTCTTGTTCTAGAAATATTCCGGAAGCATGCTAGGTCAAGGTGGACCGGGACATCTATGTAGAACGTGTGTAGCTTCTGGAAGCCTTCTGGAAACTTCTGGTTCCTCCTGTAGCTTCTGGAAGCCTTTCTGGAAACTTCTGGTTCGTTCTGTAAGCTTCTGGAAGCGTTCTAGATCTAGGTTGCAGTTGATACTCTTCTAGAACGTAGGAGGGCTTCCAGAAATCATTCTGGAAGCATTCTGGATCTTTCGTGTGATTGGCTTATTTGTCCGGTATTCGAGAGAAGAGTGGTGCAGCCCTAAGCTCGCCCACTCCTCTCACTCCTCTTCAGTACCAGCAACATCTGACTCGGGAGTCAGCAACTAATAAAAGCATCTTCATATTTCCATTCCAAGTCTCTCGCGGTTGGAGACGCACAGAGTGTGAACCTCTGAGGTAGGCTACACAGCCTCCTGGCATCTGCAGCATCGTACTGCTGCTAGTGCACAGCGAAAAATTCGCTGACAGGTAATGAGCCTCGGCTAACGCACACACTGCGTGCTGCGAACATCACGGGAAGATCAAGGCAACCTCTTCTCGGGACATCAACCTTCATCCGTGGACAACGAGAGAACCTGGTTTCGGAGATTTCTGGAGATTGCGACGCCGTCATCGGTCAACGGCAACACAAGCAGACGCGCAAACTTGGTCATCTACACCAAGGTGCTGAGGGTTCACGTCGTATACACACGTTACCACCCCTGTGGCAGTAGCGGGTATCTCTGTGGTGAACTAGCAGCAAGGGTCACGTGCGCGGGAGTCTCGAGCGGCATACGCATCGGGTGTACAAGGAACTACACTGTATCATCAGTGGAGGCGATCAACAACCGGAGTCCTCTATATCAGTAGCAGGAGCGGGATCGGAAACAAGAAAACCACAACCGGAGTCCTCTATATCAGTAGCAGGAACGGGGTGGGGAAGACTCGGGTACAGGCAGTTGTACCACGAGCAAATATACTCCTACAGCAGGAAGTACTTTTATCAAGACGAAGAAAATAAAGCTGGAACGAGCAATGGATACTGCAACGAGCAACACAGGAGGTGGAAGCGCGTTCGCCAGCGATAGTTCTACGAACCTGGCAACCGTGATCAAAGGCCTCAAGAAATTCGACGGAAAGGACCCAGCTGAGTTCAAGACATGGATGAAGAAATTTTGCGTGGTGTTAAGTGTGACCAGGAAGGACATCCTGCCACTGCTGAANTCCTCTATATCAGTAGCAGGAACGGGGTGGGGAAGTCTCGGGTACAGGCAGTAGTACCACGAGCAAACTTACTCTTACAGCAGGAAGTACNTGCTGAGGGTTCACGTCGTATACACACGTTACCACCCCTGTGGCAGTAGCAGGTATTTCTGTGGTGAACTAGCAGCAAGGGTCACGTGCGCGGGAGTCTAGAGCGGCATAGGCATCGGGTGTACAAGGAACTACACTGTATCATCAGTGGAGGCGATCAACAACCGGAGTCCTCTATATCAGTAGCAGGAGCGGGATCGGAAACAAGAAAACCACAACCGGAGTCCTCTATATCAGTAGCAGGAACGGGGTGGGGAAGTCTCGGGTACAGGCAGTAGTACCACGAGCAAACTTACTCCTACAGCAGGAAGTACTTTTATCAAGACGAAGAAAATAAAGCTGGAACGAGCAATGGATACTGCAACGAGCAACACAGGAGGTGGAAGCGCGTTCGCCAGCGATAGTTCTACGAACCTGGCAACCGTGATCAAAGGCCTCAAGAAATTCGACGGAAAGGACCCAGCTGAGT